GAGAGGTTCTGTGATTGCCTCGATGTTCCAAGAGAGCCAGGGCTGGAGCTGGGATTTGCATCACTTATCTATAAATCACAAGTTAACTTCTAATATGTCCCAAAAAGATGAGTATAGTGATATGTCTTACACATAGCACTATGTTAATAGATATAGGGTGAGCTATTTAGTCATTTCCTTTCTTCCCTCTTTCATCTTTGTCATTATTATTGTTGTTGTTATTATTATTACTATTTAATGTTGTTTTTGTTATTTATTTGGGCTTTCATCTCCTTACCAGGGGACTTACATAGCACAATAACTATATATTAATATTCAGATTGCTAAAGACAGTAAAAAAATAATTACAAATGAAACATCTTTTGAAACTCAAGTACTATTAAAATATAGACTCTGTAGACCCACCTTCAAATATTATTTATCACTAGCCTCATAGTTGAACCTGCAGACTGAAATTTTTTAAGTTTTTCAGATTTTTTGGATGTCATTGGCTCTCTACTCTGCAAAGCACTTGGAGAAACACTGCTCTAAATTACACTCTACTTAGGGAAAAACACCCTAACTCTTTGTAAGTAATTGGAATATATATATATAAAAAAAAATCAACAACCATGAAGACATAGGAGAGTAATGTTCTTTTAGCTGGAAGACCTCTGTTTATTAGGAATTAGGGTAATTTGGGGTCATCTTCTATTGGCAGGCAATTTCAATAGGACAGCCTACCATCCCAGAAAAGACAGGTATGGGGAAAGAGATGAAGACACAGTGTAGTGTCTCCTGGGAGACAAAAATAAATAAATGAAACAAAATAAAATAAAAATAAAGGAACTACCTTGATGAAAGAGATAAGCCTCATCTTTTGATATTTAACTAAGTGCCTTATAGGACTGTTTCTCTTTCCTTTCATCATCAAACCCTAGCCAATAAAAGAAATTACAAGCTAAGCCATATATGACTTGAAATATTAAAAATTGCAGCTGAAATAAACCAAGTACCATGACAGACAGCCAATGACTGATGTATTACATGTGGTATGCCTGGTCTGTTACACTCTGTGATTAAAATTCCTCAACAGAGTAATGTCAAAAAAATAGTTATTAAGGGCGCCTGGGTGGCTCAGTCGTTAGGCGTCTGCCTTCGGCTCAGGTCATGATCCCGGAGTCCTGGGATCAAGTCCCACATCAGGCTCCCTGCTCGGCGGGAAGCCTGCTTCTCCCTCTCCCGCTCCCCCTGCTTGTGTTCCTGCTCTCGCTGTCTCTCTCTCTGTCAAATAAATAAAATATTAAAAAAAAAAAGCTATTAAAGACCTGAGGTCAAAAAATTCCCATTTTTGCCCCATTTCTACCAACAACATTCTATAGGACCTTGGGCCAGTACCTGACCTCTTTGACTTTCAAATCTCTCATCTTCAAAAAAAAAAAAAAAAAAAAGAGGGTGAATTATATTTGCTAAGTTGGACTTTAGTACTAACATAATTATCCCATGAAATATAGAGCAAAACTTAATTGCTGAATGTATTCAATTGTTAAAGAACAAGACATATCTAAAGAGTTTTCTCATCTGTCCTTTTATCATCACCATTACAGTAAAATTAGAAAGAACCAGTTATTTCTTACAGTACAGCTCAAATTAGATAATATAATTTGAAACCTCTTACACAAACCTTTTAATTTTATTTTTAATATCTAGTTGAAATATTAGCAAACTTTTTGGGCCCTGAAGTGAGGCTTAACAATGTCTTTGGCCATATGGGAATCATTTGAGAAACACCAGAAGGCCCTACCTGGACAAAATCACTTCCCAAATACTACCAGGAATGCCTATCCTTTGAGTCATTCTTAAGGATGAAAGCTGTAAAAGAATTTCTTTGCACTTCACAAATATTATGTGAAAGAGAAGAGAGATGGGTTTAACTCCTATTAGCCAATAATATCAGTATTACTTTGATATGATTCAGGGGCAGATGCAGATATTGAAGGGCCTGAAATGTTGTACAATTAGAGGATCCTCATATTTATTTTTATTTATTTTTTTACAGGACCCTCTTTAAAAACATAATACAAAAGTATTAGCATAAAAGTGGATTCTAAAGGAAGTTTTTACTTATGATAAGAGAAGAAATCAAAACAGATTACTGCAGCTTTGGAGATTCAGGTTCCTTTTTTCTGAGACCTTTTTAAACAATTTACTAAAAAGTAATTATATAGAAATATTCTCTAAATTCAGCCTCAATTTCACTGCCCTCCTACAACATTTTACAGTACTCAACAACTTCTAGCACTCACAAGGACCCATGCAAGTAGGGTATTAAGTTTAATAAGCATCATGATAGATCATGTATTACTAAATCATCAGATTAACAGGTAGACTTGGAACACAAATACTATACAATCAGTGTTAAGGGTGGGTAGGGAGATCGCAAGCTAAATTTAGGGACTGCATCAAATGGGCCAAACAAAGGTAGACACTGAACAAGATGCTTGGGAGTCCTCATATGGTGGGCCTACAGGTAAAAGGGCTTTGAAGATAAACTTCTCATCATTGAATACACTCAGCCAGGTATCACTAGCAGGTCAAATCCTGCTATTCAGGAAAGATATAGGAAAAAAAAAAAAAGATGTGAGAAATAAAAGAAATTGGAAAGCATGGAGGATATAAAAGAAGTAGAAGAGGAAAACAGTATTGAGGAATAGAGAGAGAAGTGCTTAAACATTTGTTTTGCTATAGGACTAATCACTCAATTCACTTGTTATACATCAGGCTCTTGGTGCTCAGTGAACATTGGACTAGAAAGCAATTAAGGAATCTGCTTGTTAGAATAAGACATTACGTTAATGGTAATTCTCTTCTATTCCCTCTGTTTATAGATTAGTAAGAATGAGACACAGAAGTCACTGACCTATCTGAGATGGAACAGTCTAAATCATTAGGAGAGCCATGTCCAGAAACCCAATCTTTTGGTGCAAATATCAGTGATATTTTGTTTATGATTGCTTTGCAAAAAACTAGCACAAAAATAAAAAAAACAGAGATAATCTTCCTGTCCTCAGTGAACTTAAACACTTTCCATCTAAAGTTGGCCACATTCATTCTTCAAGGCCCATATCAAATTAATAATAGATAGATATACATGAGAGATAGATAGATAGATAAACAGATAATAGAAAGATAGATGATAGATAGATTGATAGATGATAGATAGATAGATGATAAATGAACAAATAAAGGTTTTCTTTGCTAAAGTTAACCATTTCTTTTTTTTACATCCAGTGTGTGTTGCCTTTATATCTTATCTCATTTTTCTTACTCTAATTTTTTTCCTCTCCTTTCTCATCTCACACACATACACAAAGGGATTACACACAGAGCTATCTACACATACACATGGACCTATATGTGTACATATGTCCATAAACACAGACATCCCCAAACACACACAAGCTGCTCAGAGAAACATCTGTGCTAAATTATACCTGTTGTCTCTGCGGTACTTTATACACAGGGATCTCCTAAAATTTGGGGGAGGAAATTAGCTCCTGTCTAGCTAGTGAGGGAACTAGGACTGCAATTCACCAGGCCTCAGCCAAGCCTTTTGATAGGTGAAAGTCCTATCCAATCTCACAGCTTCAACTGCCACCTCTAAATGATGACAAGAAGTACCTATCACCTGTCCAGAACTCATTTAGAGCCTCATTCTTTCATTGTGTTATCTGGTCAGATTCTTTCTTCTGAATATCTTATAGGTATCAAACTCAGTACTCCTAAAATGAAAGTCATCCTCTTTTCTACTGTAGTTGTGTTCGTTTTCCTTTCATTCAGCCCCTGAAGCTGGGAACCTTAATGTCATTATTGAAGAGGATCACATGCTTGTCCCTGGCAACCCCCTATTGTGTGACAATCTCAATTCTTTCTTGTTTTAGGGGGGGGTTTGGTGTTTTTGTTTGTTTGTTTGTTTTGTTTTGTTTTCCATCTAGTGCCTCTTCTCTTTTTTACCACCATAATTCAAGTCTGGGCTTTTATTCTTTCTACCTTCCATTATTGAAATAACGTAATTGATTTACTGATCTCTGCTCCAATTTCAGTATATACATCTCAGCAAAATACCAGTTCCCTATTCAAAACCTCAGTAGTCCAAATTATTTACAGATTAATGTCTGAATGTCTTACTCTGTCAATTAAGGCCCTCTATTTTTTTGTACTCCATTTATATTTCCAAATTTGCCTAGTATTATTTCCCTTCACATACTAACATACCAGAAAAGCTGATATTCCTACTTCTGATAGTTTCCCCTTGTCTTTATTCTTTCAGTTTCATTTACTTTTTCTCCTATCATTTCCCTACTTACTCAAATCCTAACTATTCCTGTAAGAGCCTCAGATGTACATAATACTTTAGGGATATCTTGTTCATGGCGATCATCACTTCCTATCTTTGTTTACAATGATTTTTATATATCACTCTTCTTCCATACTTGAGTATATGTTGTTTCTTTCTCTAAGAATACACTTGCTGAGTGCTTGAGAGCATAGTCCATGGCTGATTTATCTTTAAAACTCCCATAATGCACAGCAAAATGTTTGAATATTATAGATATTCAATAAATGTATGTTGACTTAATGAATAAGTATTCATTTATATGACAATGATAAAGAAAGTTTTTACTTATGTAGAAAAAAACCCAATTACTTACCATGGGAAATGTTCATATTTATTTGTTTCCCCTGGAATATAATCAGTAACTAAACTAGCAGTGTTGACTAACATTTTCAATAATTATTATTTAAAATAGTAGTGAACATACATGCTTAACATCCTTAAAGGAAGACTGGGATTTCAGATTGAGTCTAAGTATCCTTCTTACTTCAATGCATCAAAAATTTAGCAGTCATCAAACAGACATTAACAACCAAACCACAGCACTTTTCAATGTAACATTTCCAGAATTGGAAGGAAATTGTGACATTCATTTTATGCTTAAAGAATGTTCTTTATTTCCCAGGTGTGATGGGAGAATATGAGCCGAAAATTGAGGTCCATTTTCCTTTCACAGTTACAGCTGCTAAGGGAACAACTGTTAAGATGGAATGCTTTGCACTTGGCAAGTAAGTACATATTCTTCCATAATTAGACACAATTGTTTATTAAAATGTGACATATCTTATTTTTGGATCACTTACTTTGTTAGATTTCATTTCCCCAGAAGTTCCTTGGTGGTTATTCATTTAAAAAGGGGGGGAGGGGCAAATGGTAACTGATGAAGTAACCAATTATAATGATCTTTCTAGTGGTTTCTATGAACAAAGTGTATGTAGTTTTGCTATTTTAACATAAAGGAGGCTTCTTTAAATAAAAGAATAGCTTTACATCTCTTTGCCTACATGTCTTAAATTTCCAATGTCATTCTTAAATTTCATTCAGCAATGATATAAATATAAAGTGGATAAAAAGATAAGGTGCTATCTGCTCCTCATGCAAAAAATATAGATTCTGATAAGATATGAGACAACAGCATAAAAATCATAAAAATGATAGTTGCAGTGAACCAACTGATTACTTTAGTATCTTCTGAAAGATGTTAACATTATAACACCAGCTGTCAATATGTACATGTAATCATTCTCCAAATCAGAAAGATGATTTATATCACACTATAATGACTGCTATACTTAATGATTCTATTTCTGAGGATTTAAATCTTATGATATATAATCACTTGTCAATGATGTTTATGAGTATTGAGCATAGGTGCAGGAGTGAGATTTTGATTATATTTGATTAGAGTATTATGATTTATTTTAAACAGGGTGTTGTTTTGTTTTTTTCAGGGTGATAAGACCTCAGGGTCCTTTCTAGACTCCATAATTATAATTTGCATAAATGCATCACTATCAGAGTTACTAATCATTTAACTTCAGTTGTGGCGAGCTAGCTCCCACAACCTAGCTATAAAGCACTTGAGATAAAACATGCTATATAGGGGGTGCCTGGATGGCTCAGTCGTTAAGCGTCTGCCTTCAGCTCAGGTCATGATCCCAGGGTCCTGGGATCGAGCCCCGCATCGGGCTCCCTGCTCAGCGGGAAGCCTGCTTCTCCCTCTCCTTCTCCCCCTGCTTGTGTTCCCTCTCTCGCTGTGTCTCTTTCTGTCAAATAAATAAATAAAATCTTAAAAAAAAATTCTATATAAATGTGCTTAAAGTAGGTTTAGCCTACGGGTGAGGAAAATATTAGTAAATATGAAAAATTCAGCTAGTAAGAAGAGGTTGAGGGCATAAACATAGTTAAACACCATGGTTTCTTTTTTTTAATTTCAAAATGGATTGAAATTAAATGAATACATGTGCAATTCTATTTAAATCTAAGTAGAAGTGTGATGCCGGGGTAGAGCAGTCAGTTAAGCATCCAACTCTTGGTTTCTGTTCAGTCGTGATCTCAGAGTGGTGATACAGAGCTCTGCATTGGTCTCCACGCTTAGCATGGAGTCTGCTTGAATTTCTCTCTCCCTTTGCCCCTCCTTCTCATGCTCTCTCTCTAAAATAAATAAATAAATCTTTTAAAATATAAATCTAAGTAGAAGCATGATCATAATAGACTAAAAACAAAATAAGTTGTCATGTGGTCCATTTTTAAGCAAAATATGTCTATAAGTAGAAATATATTTCAAGAACTTAAAATTCATCTAGAAGATATTTGGGCCAATATCCAAGGAAGTGTTCCAAACCCAAAGATATTGGTTAAATGCACACGATTAAATCATACCTTAAAAGTCTTGTTTTTCACCATTTTCCCATATGTGGTGTCAAATATGCCTGGAAATGTCCTGTTTAATCATTTCAATTCTGATAAATACAAAAATAATATGTTTTGACTTGATGCCAAAGGTTTTCATATATCCTGAAGTTAAATAATTCTTAAATGCCAGAATTTGTACTAACGGAAGGTCTTATTGTAAAACAAATTACAGAAATGGATTTATAGAGAAAAAAACAATATGGGATATTTCCCCAGGCAAGCTTATTTAATAAGTTAGATGTGTTTGCTTTTGGAATTCTTGAAATATGTTTAGTAAATTGATCCTTAAAGTCCCTTTCATTCTAGGTGGAATCAAACAGTCAAATTTTGTTATTTTAATACTTTATTTTCTTCAATTTTTCCACTTCTTTGTTACTCCTTCTCCTCATCTCCTCCCAACATAAGTAAAAAAAGGGGGGGGTAGATAAAGACACACAACCTGTCAAGAAAGTCTCTGTTGCTCATTTGATAGCCTTTTTACAAAGTGTCATAATTATGAAAAAAAAAATAAAAACAACATGGGGCACCTGGGTGGCTCAGTTGGTTAAGCACCTGCTCAGGTCATGATCTTGGGGTCCCAGGATCCAGGCCTGCATCAGGGTCCCTGTTCAGTGAGGAGTCTGCTTCCCCCCTCTCCCTTTGCCCCTTCTCCTGCTCATGTTCTCTCTCTGGCTCTCTCTCTCTCTCAAATAAATAAATAAAATCTTAAAAAAGAGAGAGAGAAAAGGAAAAGAAAACATGCTATGAAGAGATCTACCTCTACCTAAAGACTAATCTACCACTGATGAAAATAAATAAAATTAGGGGCGCCTGGGTGGCTCACTTGGTTAAGCGACTGCCTTCAGCTCAGGTCATGATCCTGGAGTCCTTGGATCGAGTCCCGCATCGGGCTCCCTGCTCTGCAGGGAGTCTGCTTCTCCCTCTGACCCTCCCCCCTCTCATGTGCTCTCTCATTCTCTCTCTGTCAAATAAATAAATAAAATCTTAAAAAAAAAAAAAAGAAAGTAAATAAAATTTAAAAAATAACATCTTTATATGTGTTAATTCTTTTAGAGTACATTATTATGTGGAATAGATCCTTGTTGCATACCAACATAATCATAGCAATTTCAAATTAATACCCGAGCATCTGCTTAGTTCACACAACTCATCTGAGCTACTTCTCACTTTAAAAAGGACATGATTTTCTGGTGGACTTTGTCTGTCCAGGAGTTTTATTATCTGTCACTAGATACCAATCAGGACTTTGCCACTCAAGCTGATTTCCCCCCTCCATCTGTCCACATAATGTTTTCTTTTTTTAAAGATTTTATTTATTTATTTAGAGAGAGAGAGACCACATGCAGAGGCAGTGGCAGGGGAAAAGGGAGAAGCAGGCTCCCGGCTGAGCAGGGAGCCCTACTCGGGGCTCAGTCCCAGGACTCTGGGATTGTGACCTGAGCCGAAGGTAGAAGCCTAACTGACTGAGCCACCCAGGAGCCCCAATCCACATAATGTTTTAATCAAATGTTCTTCATATAGTATTATAACCAAATTCTGGCATAAAGGATGCCAAGCTCTTTGCTATCTCATGTCCTTTACACTTGCTGTTCCTTCCGTGGGGCACACTCTTCCCTGTTCTTTCCGTGCTAGGTCCCGCTTATCCTCTGGCCTCAACTTAAATATTACCCTCTAAAGAAGCCAGGTGTGACTACTTTATGTAACTGACACTCATTATTCTCTATCTAAATATTTGTGTTTTTTCATCATAACCCTTAATACAGTTTTAAATTATTAAATTATTTACTTATGAGTTTCTCTATTTTTTCCCCTTTGGATCAGTCAGAAATCCAGGTGGAAACAGGGTCAAACCCTTATGGTCCAAAAGAGTTTAGTAAAGGCACAAGTTGAAAATCAATGAGCAAGGCTAAGAGAACAAAGAAAAGAAACTGAGGCATTTGTAGACTAGTGATAACAAGAAGTCATTCCCACCCTTAAGTCAGAATGAAGAGGGAGGAGGAGATGGTGTCACCAGAACCAGGGACAGCTGGAGATATGGAAAGGGCTGGGCCCCCCAAAGCAACTATAGTAACCATAGCCATGATGAAATGCATTAAAAAAACACAGCTGAGGAAAAGGATCAGGAAATTCATACCCTGATTTCTTTTTCCTCATGCCTTCTGAGCTCCTCTGATGGTTCTCTTGGCTAATGGTAAACAGAAGCCAGCTTAAAAGCCCAGAGGATGTTATTTGCAGCATTCAAAACAAGGCAGAGAGTCTGGAGGAAGAGGAAGGTGACAGGCAAGGGAGGCAAAAAGAATAACCAGGAAGTCCCCATCAAGTTTTAAACCCCACGAGGGCAAGAATCATGACTACATTCTTCACTTATTCCTAGTGCCTACCACAGTGCCTGGCACATAAGAGCACTCAGGAAATATTTGTTGAAGGCATGAATAAACTCAGAAGGACTGTGTCTACTTAATCCAATTCAACTCTTTATCAGTAACACATAATAAATAACAAACAACTTTTTATGCAGAAAGCCTTTTGGCTAATTCCTATTCTCCCAAACAAATCCACCTATATTCTCCACACCTCTACTACCTCTTGCCCTCATCTTTTTCCATTTATGTCCACATTTACACTTGTATTTTTGTCCCCATCTTTTCCTGCTTATTCTTACCTCACTCCATCAGTAGAAATCACCATTTTTATCATGTTATTCTTTAAATCAAACAGTTTCCTAGATACTCCTCTCTCAAGGAAAAATGATTCATTCATTAATGCAAAGTAGCCAAAAAGAAAGTGGCATGATTTTCATAGCTCATCTGGTAAATGCAAATGGGCTAAAGTACCTTGAAAGAACCTAGCACTGAATACCAGTCTGAAAGTTTTAAGAAACAACTGTGTGCCAGTTACTGTACTAGTTTCCAAGGATTTCTATAGTCCCTGTTCTCATTGTATCATGCATTTAGCTGATTTAGCATCACATTGTCTGGAGTCCAGTCTGTCATTACATAAGCAACAGTACACAGCTTGACCAAATGTCCTCCCAGTCAGCTTTTATCTCTAGAGATTTACTACCCATCTTTTTTGTTCCAACTTTAAACTGAGACTAACGGGGCGCCTGGGTGGCTCAGTCGTTAGGCGTCTGCCTTCGGCTCAGGTCATGATCCCTGGGTCCTGGGATCGAGTCCCACATCGGGCTCCCTGCTCCGCGGGAAGCCTGCTTTTCCCTCTTTCACCCCCCCTGCTTGTGTTCCCTCTCTCGCTGTGTCTCTCTCTCTCTCAAACAAATAAATAAAATCTTTTAAAAAATAAAAAATAAACTGAG